CTATTGTTGTGAGTTCAATTAGTAGGGTGCCTTTCAGGATAAGTAGTGAAAGGAGTTCTTGTTGATACTCCTTTTGTTCTCTAAGTTTGTCAGTCTTGCACTAATTGTATTCAACATGTTGAAGACTTCAAACCAGAGATTACTTTTTATTTGAATTTCTCTTTATGTTTTTCTATCTAAAGATTGTTTCCCTTTTTTTCCTCTGGTTTTCTGAGTATGGATTATTTGGTGTTCTTCTTTTTCTTCCTCTGTATTCATATAGGTGGAAATAAATACTGATGATCCTTCAGTGTATCTTGAGTATTCTGGAAAAATATTTTTATTTTTTTTCTATATGATACTTGGCTATTCTGTGGTATGTGCTCCAGCATATACTGTATATCTTTGTATTGTCTTTAGTGCTCCATCAAGTTTTACATTCAAACAGTTCTATATGTGATAATAGTGCTTTATTTAAGTCTTTCTGGTTCTTTAATCCAAGGATAGAAAAGTTTCTTCTCTTTTCTGTTCTACCATTCATAGGGATGTAGACTGTTTTTACTCTAAGATGTTTTACTATACTTATAATACGAGAAGCAGACGTAGATTTTCCTATTCCATAAAGCCTAGCCATTATTTCATTCCATTTAAGTAGTATTGCTTGATAGTCTTCTAGCCATGCCATTCTTGCCATGAAGTTCTCTATTGATATTGACTAGATCTTGTGAATATTTGTTTTGGTGGATTTGAAGAAGAAAATTGTACTATTGTAATTATAGTTTCCTTTGGTAAGCCTTAAGAATTCTATTTCTCCATATTTGATAGTATACTATAGACTTTCTTAGTTGAAGTATACAAGGGAATATTCAGGAGTATTATTTGTTCTGGAGTTTCTGATTTCAAGGATGAGACTTCAGAGGGTGCTATGTTCTCCACATTGTTATTCATAATGATGATGATGTTTTGTTCTTGGATATTTCTGGATAATTGTTATTTGCATCTGTGTGCATCTACTGCATTATTGAAATATAGAATTATTCATTTGTTTCTGCCAATGGCTAGTACTTATATGCCTTTATGCTCCAATAGTATACCAAGCTTATCAGCAATATTTTTTAGTTGTTCTTCTCTACTCATATATGAAGTTGAATTGCTTTTGATTCTCAGTTGTACTTTTCCAAAACAATTGGATAAGTTGAAGTGATTGGTCATGTTGTGATTGGTTTTTCCTAGATTGGAATAATCTTTTCAATTGGAGTTCTTTTTTTTATTTTCTTTTGTTCCTCTAGTGATATATCTGGGTTCTTGTATTTGAATTATACAAAAGTTTTTTTTATTCTTTGTATTAATTTTGTTCATACAGATTATTAAGTCTTTCTTATATTCGAAGTAGATTGCATATCATCCATTACCATTAAAGAAAAGGGACCAAATAAGATATTGTTTATCTTCAGGAAGCTTTAGTATATTAGCCAGGTATTTTATCTGTTCTGATTTGTTGTCTCCTGAAGTATTGACTATCATTACCTCTGCTTTGTATACTCCTTCTTTACAAATATAGAAGAAATTTGTTGATTAGTATTGCCTATTTCTTGTTGTATAATCAGGTATCAATTTAATATCTAGACTCTGAGTTGAAGTGGGACCATAAATGTCTACGATGTCATTTGAAGAGTATTGTTCTTCCATAATTATTTCTGGAATTTGTGTCTTTTCAACTATGGTTGGGTTTTCTCTTGTTTGCTCTTCCATTTCTATTTCTGAAACTTGTTGCTTCACATTTGACAGTCCCTGATTTGTATTATTGCTTGTTATTTAATTATGTTTCTGGTTGGACTGCTCAAGATTGTCCTGCCTTGATTAAAATATACTTAAGATTTGAGCTATTTGTTATGAATCTTTGATTAGGAATTTATTCAGGATATTCATATCAAGTTGGTTGAATTCCCATATCTGTTTGATATATTCCTTAACTAAAGCCCATTTGACCATGGTATTTAGGTTTATATTGAAAAGTCTTGCTGCTACAGCATCAATAACTATGATATTTATAAGTGCTTTCAGGTCTGAAATTTCTGATACTATATTGATTAGTCCATCTTTTATAAGAGTATGCAACCATTTCTAATCTCCTTTGTTGTGGTAATTTTCTAGTGTTCTGAGATGTTCTATTATTTGTTCCTTCAATAGGATTATTGGCATTTCTGTTATTGTATTAGTTGTATGCAGTTGTATTACATGTGCTTTTTTCCGTGACATGTGTTTTTCTGATTTTGTTGATGTCTTGTTTATTTGTTTGTTATTATTTTGAATGCAGAATATAGTTATACCTTAATTTTGAATTCCGTAAACAAACATTTTTGTTTTCTTGTTTGGAATGTGAAGAAATATGCACATGTGTTTGTGTTACTGCTGATCTTTGATGGGGATAAACTGGTTTTAGTTTTTTGATTCTGATGTAGATCAGCTCACACGACGATTGTTGTTTATAGTATGTGATTTGTTTGATTTTTTGCTTTTCTTCTAAACACAGTGTTAAGAAAGTCTTGATATCCTCTGATTTTGAGTCAATAGTGAGTAGGGTTCCGATCAATACCATTCGGTACGATATTTTGTAAAACTGATATCAAAATTTTTTTTCAGTATTGATATCGATAATTACCAAAAATTTTCGATACAATACTTTAAAGTACTAATATCGAACTGAAATATCGAAAGTATTAATAATAATTAAAGTATTATATAAAGTTTCAATTAATATTATTTTATATATTATATATACTATTGATTATAATATTCCAGATATTATTTTAAAAAATAATAAAAATTTGAATTATTATATAATTTAATTATATAATATTTTATTATCAATATTACATATAGTTATAAAGATCTCGCATGATTTTTATTTATCAATTTTATATTAATACACAACTTCTTTAACTTTTCATATTATTTGTTTATCAAATAAAAAAGATTTATAAAATTTATTAATTATTAATGGATACCATTATCAGATAATTAAAAATAATTTGTTTTTAAAAAATATATGCTAAACAATTTGTTATATAAAATAACTTAATTAATCTCTAAAACCAAAGTCAATAAATTGATAATAATATTTACTAATATTAATGAAATTCTAAATATATATAATGATAGATAGCCTTAATTAAAAACTTTCTAATTAAGACATGTAATCAACATTGCAAAAAGAGTAAAAACTAATTAGCTTACCTAATCCAGTACTATCCAGTACTTGTCATAAGCGAAGGACAATAAGAAAATCACAAAGAAATATGATAAAGATTCATCAAAAAAAATAAACAATGGAAAAAGAAAAAAAGAATTAGTAAAACTTGGCTAAATAAATCATATGTCTCAAGTAGAGAAGTCAAATTCTTATCTAATGTTATATAAAAATTGTTGAAAAAAAATAACAGACTCGTCAAGAGAAATAAATTTTAAATATATTCAATACAATACTTGGATAATTGATCAATCATTATTATTTACTTTTTTACAGATTGAACTAATCATCAAAACAAAGTATTAAGCCACCATAAGGTAATCATGCTCCTTTAAATACATGACATACTAAGTATATCCAATACAATACTTGGATGATTGACCAATCATTTGCAATAGCAAAAACACAAAAAAGTAAAAAGTAAGGAGAAAACAGTCGGATCCTAAGCCTGTCTTAAAAGGCGATAACTGCCCCTAATCTTTATATGCTTTTTTAAATTTTTTATTGCAAAAGAATTTTCAGTTTTCTTATATAATAAACTGATCATTATAAAAATTTTTTTAATATAAATAAGCTAACTCCAATTAAAATAATAATGATGGGCACTTTGCTTGAAATCAAAATTTACACTATGAAATTTTTTTTTTTTTTTTTTATAAATAAATGTGTAATGATGCAAATCTTTATTGATACTTGTGTAATTAGAAATACATCAATACTATGAAATCTAATTTAAAAATATATTCAAAAATAATAGAGACATATGATTTTATTATATTATTTAATACCTGTTCACAATAAAAAAAAAAAAAGATCTTGTAAAATATATATATATTAATAACATAAATTTGATCGATACCAATGTTTTAAACACATTACTGCACGAATTGTATCAGCTATACATGTGGTAGAAATTGGTAGATCCTTGACGCAATTGACGCAATTATTTGACGCAATTAATTGAGTCACTATTAAAACATATAAAATAATTGAGTCAGACGCAATTATTTTTGAGGATTTTGGCAATTGAGTCAACTGCAAAATAATTTACACCACATGTATACTGTATATTGCATCAAACAAAAAATTTACAGTTTAATTCTTATTTATTAATATTATACAAAATAAATTTAATTACAAATTTATATCCATGGATTTTTTTTTTTATTAATCTAATTTTATTTTTTATTTATTAATAATATATATAATATATTGATTGTAATGTGATAATAATTTTATAAATCAAATAAAATTTATAAAAAATTTTTTTATTTATAATTTATAATTATTTTATTTAATCATATATTAATATTGTATTTTAAATAAAAAAAATAACAAAAATATTAATCTTGTTTTTTAATATACAATATAAGTATTAAAAACTTGAATAAAATATTAATAAAATTATATTAAAAATTTATATACTGTAAATAAGTTTAAAAATATAAAAAATAAAATTTATTAAAAAAATTTTTTTAAAAAAAATATTATTTTTGAAAGACTTGAAAAAAAAAAATTTGTTAAAGAAAAATCCATAAAACTGTTTTTAAATGTGAAATTTGTTTAATAAAAAGAATTCATTAATTACAATTTATATATATAAATTTACTTATATAACAATATAATTCTTAATGAAATTATAACAAAAATGTATTCAATCTTTTTGTTACATATTGTATTTTTTTGTTTATTATATTTATAAATATACTGTATATTATCCCATTAATATTGTGTATTACTAATATTACTTTTTGCGTATAAAAGTTGGATCATGCTAAGATCGGGAACATGCCCGGATGTCGATCATTCAAATCATACTAGTGAGAAATACTTTAAACATTAAAAAACTTTACTCTCGAATAAATTTTTGCTTTGAATCCTTTTCTTCGTGGTAGACACTCAAGATTCAGATATGACTTCACCTAGCGTACTGCAGTGAGTATTCTTAGTACTTCGTAAATAGACAAATTCATGTTTTTGGCCTTTCTCATTACAATACATTCTCTGCATTAATGCACTAACATTACTAACATTCCACAGTCAAAAAGAGCTTGCAGAAACTACCAAAGGTATAAATTACGTTACTAGAAACAAGTAACAGCAATTTTACACGTTTATACCAAGTTTTAACGGTAAATTATAATTTTGCACTTATTTTGTATATAGCTCTATCAACGCTAGATATTAACAAATCAACGCAGAGAGACAATTCGGAACATCAAGAATTGCAATTAGAACCTCAATTTAAAGACATTACATCATTTTTGGATGAAGTCACGGATGGTACCGTTTAAATCTCTTAGATGTTATTATTATTCTCTGTCGAGGGACTCTTTATAATCCTCACGTTTGATCTTTTCGTAAAAGAGTAGAATTCGAAATTGGTCAACTCGTTCATCTTGAATCTTTTGGGCTTTATGACGCAATGAGTTCGATTGAGGTAATAATCATTGCCAGGATAATCAAATAGATTTTACACATTTTCTTGCAAGGCGATTCCGACATACAATTTTTGATTTAGATCATGGACCCCAAAATGGATAGCGGAATGATTTTAGACAGTGATTTAAACAAGAAGCCATTTGACCTATGTGCTCGCTTAAGGCCTGAACAAACTCTTTGGATCATGGATCGATTATTTATATGTGAGGTACAAATACAAAATTTTTGTCGCAAGATAATATACATAAATAAAGTATACTTCAGCTCATTCCTATTTAGATGACATGGCACTCTGGACATTCTCTCTCACAAACACTGTTTACCTGCATGTATCTTCATCATGTCATGGAACTTAAGCCTGAATTGTTTTCCAATGATTCTAGTGACGGTGTTGATCGGGACCTTGTGCCTATAGAATTTGTTGTATTGATCTTAAAGAGTTATGTTTTGACTACGGCAAAATGTTGTCAATTTGTCCTGGATGAGATGGTAAAGGGAAATGTCTACGAAGTAAGCGTGCCTATTTTCTTACCGTCACATTACGATTTGGCTATGCAAGATTTTAATCCACTTAATTAAAACAGGAAGAAGATTTTGCAACAAACAAGTATGGCATTTCAATATATGAGGATTTTCCTGAATCACAGGCCATAAAGCTTCTTGAGGATGCAGATAATTGGTTGATTCAACATGGTTTCCATTGGATTCAACAAAATGGTATTTTAAGTAAACTTTCTGGGTTCTTAACCATTTTCTAAATTTCAGCTTCAAAAATTGATTTTTTTCAATAACGTAAAGGTATAGATAAGGGAGAGGAGATTATTCGAGCTCTACAAGTTAGGCTTCTTTTGAGAAAGGTTGCTATTAATTAGCTAACCGTGCTGAGAAAGATTTTTTTAATATAAGGAGTTTTTTTTTAACGCAACATGATTTCTTTAAATAGTCTTTTCTCTTAGCCCTTGTTCACATGTCTCAACCATGTTGTCAGCAATATCCTCAAGCACAGAGACAACTTACAGTCTGCATGCAATTGTTGAATGGTACCAAAGATGAGATTGGCATTAATCACACTCTGAACTTGGGAATTGAGGTCGAGGGAGGTATATATTGATTTTTTTTTTTTTTTTATGCCAATAATGGCTTAAATACAATAAAAAAAACATAATTGGAATGAATTTATAATATTATGTCTATGGATTAGCTTTTGACCCTTTAATCAACCGTAAACTGGTCTCCCAAACCCCTCCGCGACCGATCCGACTATTTACAATGCAAGAGGTGAGTGCTCTCACTTCAAATTAGAATTATCATTCTCGCGGTATTTAACGAGTTCATTATGTACGTCGCGCAGTCTATTGACGAAATACTTAACATATTTCAAAGTCTTTCCGCAACTTGTAGAATCATTGATTATAAATCGGCGACTAGCTTAATGGTAAGTTATTTGATTGACAAATATTATTCAACGAATAACCTTTGCGCTCAATATTTCTCAATATTTGGTTGCATTCTATATTAGAACTACATGACATATCACTCTTCAAAACAACCATTACCATGCGCCTTATCGAGGTCAATATTGCAGGTATGCGGGTTCTTTCTGTGAATTGTTGATTTTTTTTCGCATTTATAGCTAGCTCCAAGTTTCAAAATCACGTCCAATTTTCTAATATATACATCAGTCTACTGTCTATTCGGAGAACCGCATTCTCGGAAAAATTTCAATATTTCAATTGGTAAAAGATTCTGTCACAGAATTGACGAATCCACCGTATATCTATTTTGCGTCCAAATCAGAAGTTGGAACATCTATCAATGGTTCGCATATTGATGCAAACAGGGCGAAAATTTCGAAACTGATACATAATTTTGTCGATAGCGCAGCAAAGGTATTATCTAAATACATTTCAAATTTACCAAGTTTTATTAGGTGATAATGGAGCGATCTGTTTAAACTTCAAATAAAGCCATTGACAGATTACTTTCGAATTCTATGTCATAATCGTTCGAGGCAACGGCGAAATATGTGTAAAGTAATAGCAGATTGGGATCTACTACAAGAGGGTGTAAGTATGCATCCTTTGAGTTCTTATTAATAACCGATAAAGGACGTTTTTTATTTGCGTTCATTAACCCAAAATTTATATATCAGGCTGAAAATATAGATACTGAGTTGCAAACATTGGCAAAGGAAGAACCATTGGAGTCCGAGGTACGTTGATTTTTTTGAAAGGTGCTCAACGATAAAATTCATGTAACAATTTAATATTTATCGAGATCTTCTTAGGAAGGACCGTCATATTCTTTTCACCTTTCTTCTTGGGTTTACATTCGAAAATTGACACTATTAGAGGACATTCTGTTTCTCGGATTTGAATTGGATTTATATGGAAATCACGAATTTGTGATGATGTATTGGTGAGAGTCTAACGGTTTGATTCTAGATAGAAAATAACATTATATATCGAGATGAATATTTTCTTTTGGTATAGGTATTTGGACTACATATTGGGGGTTCATCACAGACATCTAGAAAGAACTCGCCTTCACGTAGCTGGTACGATAGTTAATATAGGTGAAAATTGAAATTTCAATGTGTGTGCAATTCGTTTTAATTTCACACATGTGCACATTCATCAGATCATCGAAAGTTCAAAAGACAACAAACCCACATTCAATTTGCACCACCACCGTCACCTTCCGTTTCATTGATAATTACTCAACAAATGCTAACCATGGCGAGGCAAGATATTTGTCGCGGAATCCACAGGGTATGAAATGTTGATTCTTTTTTAAAGATATGAATTCGCGAAGTTATCTGGATAATCAATATTCCTTTGGCGTCAATAGGCTATAATAGCACTTCAAAAGACAGGTCATTATTTGCCACCGAAATTAGAATTTGACGACGAGAATGCCCGATTCTTGCATAGGTTTCGAATGTACAGTAATTTAGGAAGTCCGGCGACATTAACTTTCCAAGATTTCAAAGAGACCACTCGCTTAGATAATATTACGGTATTTACATCCTTCACGGAAAGTTTTCGTTTCATGCGCTGACAATCATTTTGATAATTTTCTTTTTTAATTACTATAAAGGCAATCGATCTCATGAACATTGCTTTACAGAATTTTCAGTCTGCTAGGTCTTCACTCGAAAGTTTA